TTGTCAAAATATTAAAATTATCAAAAATATTTAAACTTCCTTTACTACAAAAACAACTTTAGTTTAAATAATTGTCTTTTTAAAAATAGAAAGTTTTCTAAAAGGTGCATGTTGCATATCTTCCCTGTGGGTTCGATATTCAGTTCTTATAAAAAAAAATTTATATTTCTTGATAATAATATGTATACTTGCGTAGTATCCCAAGTGCATGTTGCATATCTTCCCTGTGGGTTCGATATTCAGTTCTTATAAAAAAAAATTTATATTTCTTGATAATAATATGTATACTTGCGTAGTATCCCAATATACATAAATTAAAAGTTAAATTCTTATTTTTCTTCAAGATCAACTTTTTGGTTTTATTGAGAAATAAGGAAATATAAGTAAAAAATATAATCAGAATTATTGTTATACTGTTGCATATAAGCAATTTCGGGATCAGTAACTTAGAAGAAATGGATCCTGAATTTGAATTATCTAGAAAGAATCTGATCCATAATTTGGGAGATTTTGAAGTATCTTATAAAGATCTATTTCTTATAAAATTTAAGTATGATATTATTATGAAAATTGAGAAAATCACTAAAGGAATATTGGATCTAGAAAGAAATATGAGTAACATAAATATGAATCAATCTGAAAAGGAAGAGCTGAAAGAAAATTTTAAATTTGAGGACTTTGTTGAAATCCTTGGATCTGGAAAAGATTGGGTGATTGATCAAGGATTACTTAAATAGTATTTTGAAATATGTGGAATCATTTGTTTGGTTGAAGATGTTAACAAAGTGCTTTATGGGAGGCAACTCATAGTTATCAGTGTGTTTTGATTTAGTGTGCTATAGAGTCATGATTGTCAGTGTTTTATTGTGTTTGCTTTAGTGTGGATTAATCAGTTTGATTGATGATTAGTAGATGTTTAAATTGTTAGTGGTTTGATTTAATTTTTGTGTGTTATGAGTGAGGTGATTCCTTAACTTCTTATTATGACTAGACTTATATATTCTGTTGGAGTAGTTGGAATGACGAGTCCACTATGACTCGGGTCTCACTCAGACTTAAGTTTTACAAGAGACATCATTAACTTTAACAGTGATAGTTCCATCTCAATTTTGTTACTTCTTTTCTATGACTTTTTTTCATTTGATAGAAGTAGCTAACCTATTTAATGAGTAACATGTGGATGAATTTACACTATCTTTATAAATGCTAGAGGTGCTTAATTATTGGGGTAAGGTAATGTCTAGGGTTGGTTCTTGAGAGCTAATATATCAGGGATAATCTTTTCTTTAGGATTGGAATCTATAAAATCATTTATAAGTACCCAATATATCTGTGTAGTGAATCCTTTAGAAATTAGAAGTAAGTTAGTGAAATGCAATGAGTTAAAGGAAGGCTTTTGTCTTGATGAATACTTGTAAATGTTTATGATAGATAAAATTTCTAAATAGTTTTTCTTCCTGCATATATTTTTTGTATTGAATGTTATATATGTTTAAAATCAAGTTTGGGGGTAGAAAGAAAAATAAATTTTAAAGTCAGCATACTTTATTTTAGTTTAATATTATTGCAAGCATGTTTTAAGTAAGATTTACTTTCTCATTCAGTCATTTTATCACGATTCTGCACTTATATAAATTTGATAGAATGTTGTAGTAGTTAGTAAATTCAACTTTTACTTTTTCTTCTTGCTACATTTTGTGGGAATGAAGTGTAAAATATTTAAAATTCTAGTTTGGGGGAAAGAAAATTTTCTTTTAAAAAGAACTAAACTAAATTTTATTTGTCCTCAATTAACTATATTTCTAAAATTAATTTAACATGACCTTCGATATTAGAGTTTAACTTTAAATGACTATATTTATATTTTTAAATATTATGGTAAATTTAGGTAAAAGTTTTTAAAAACGAATGTCAATTCTAAAGTTAAAGATATTTGGTATGAAAGGATAAGACTATATTTTTTCTGTTTAAAGTAAAGGAAATTATATTTTTTAAGTATTAAGAATTTAAGATTTTCATGTAAGAAGAAAAGATGAGACTTTATGAAAAATCATCAAAACTTATATGAATTTATAAAGTGACTTATAAAGTGAAAAAAGGTAAAAGTATTAACTTTAAGAAGAGGATAGTGAAGTTCAAAATTATTAAAGACTATCCAAATATAGTAATCCTCACTTGAAAATTAAAATAAAAATAAGGATTGAAAAGATCCTGAATAAAATAAAAAAAAGGATGTGAGGAGAAGCTTGAATAGATGCCTATTCAAAAAATTGACTTCACTTGAATCAAATTTAAGAAAAGGCTTTATTATATTTTCTAAACTTGTATTTGAGTATTAGCACCTTTAATAGTAAATTTTTGATGAAATTCTTTTTCATATGGATATTCTAAATATCCTTGATATAACAAATTACAATTCTTCTTGAAATGAATGGAGATTCATAAATCTTAGATTTGATTACTAAGTATTCTTAAACCTATAGTTTTAATCTAAATTATTAAAAGTATTTCTTAAATTATACTATTTTATTTATTAAATTAAAGTGTAGAATTTTATAAGTTAATCTCTATCCTAAGTCATTTTTATGTACTAAAAGCGTCACTTGAGCACAAGTAACGTTTAAGTTTGGGGGATTTTGATACGCCTAAAAATTATCTACTTTTTCATATATATTTTATGCTCAATTTTAATAATTCTTAATGATATTACACTTTAATTTTTATGATATTACACTTTAAAGGAAAGTATTTCGCATATTTTTGGTTTCAGGTACAAGAAATGAACTTTTGGAGAAAATGAAGCAAAAATGGTGCAATTTGGAGTAAAAACGAGCAAGAAAGAAAATTCTAACTTAACACATTTCGATATGTCTTTCAATGCATAATCTAATTTACATTTCTCACATAATTTTGAATGAAATTACACTTTAAAGAAAGGTTATTTTTATGCTTATTTTGTAGGTATATCTGTTAGGAGCGAAACAAAACTAAAATGCGGCGAAACAAATCTGCGGCGAAACAAATGCGGCGAAACAAATCCAAACGAAGTAAAATGATATAGCTGTTGCAGAGTGGCGCATGATGCGCCAAAATCCAGAGAACTAGTGCATGATGCATAGAGATGACTTTTTGTAGATTAAGGCGATTCAGGATGAATTTTGCGTAAATTTTCAAATGAACACTTGTTTTAAAGACCCCTTGGAGTGATTCAATGCATCTAGACACTTTGGAAGGTGCTTTTATGAAGGGATATGTCTCTTGAATCATTGTACATGACTTTTAAATTCAAAAGAGTTAACTTTTGGATAGAATTTTAGAGAGAATTTTGAATTTTTTTTGGAGGGAGGCAGTTTTTTATAAAAGAGAGAAAAAGTCTAAGGCTTGAAGAGGAGTTTTGGGCGTGAGGGTGTAAGTGTGTGTGTGTGTGGTGTGAGATTAAGAGAAAGAAGAAGGCAAGAGAGAAAAAATCAAGGGCTCAGAGATTTTCTTCAAATATTGTAAGAGGAGAGGGAAGGTGAGAGATTTCTTATTCTTTACACTTCTAAGGGAGAATTGAGAGTGCTTATAAAGAGGGAAAGTGCTTGAAGAGAACTTCTAGAGATTTGCTTGGCTAGGATTGTGAGATAAGATGTGTTCTTTTATTTCTTTATTTTGTAAATTTGTTTTTATCTATTAAATTTGTGTTTTGTCATATCCTTCTCATGAATTTTGAGTATTCTTCTTTATCCTTCTCCCTACAATGAGTTTTGGATTTGCGAAGAATTGATTTTGTTTATACAGTTTTACATGTCAAAAATTTGTGATGATTCAGACTTTGATCTTCATTTACTTTTCAATTTGGCCAATTGATACGTTAAAATGTGTTAAGAAACATATATTCTGAAAGGGCTATGATTTCTACAACATAGTGAGAGCCACATTTGATTTCATGAGAGAGTATTTCGTCCATGGAGTTGGGTGCAAATAAATAGTGAAATATACGTTGTTGGACGCAGAATTAGAAATTTTAAGGTGACTGATTAAAATCTCCAATTTGGTCTAGTGATTGGAAACTGATGCGAGATTGTTAGCCCTCGGGTGAGGGAGTAGTGGGAGGGAGTGGCAGCCGATATCCTCCCAGTCTAACTACAAAATTAGGGACTAAACTCTAGATTAGTCAATGTTCTTTATACACTTGGAAGAGGGTAAATAATAGAGTTGCTCCTATTTGACACAAAATAATTTTTATAAATTTAAATGATTTTAATAAATTTCTTCACAATCCGTATACTCATTGTAAAGGGGAATGATACTTTCTTAAAATTGAACTTTCCGTCACAAAAACTTAGTTAAATTTTTGTAAGTTTACTTTAGAAAGTTTAGCATTTAGTTTAGTTAACTTTGTCTTTCAACTGCATTTTACTTAGTATTCACTTGTTACTTAATATTCAAATTTATCACTTTACTTTTTGTAGTTTTAAAAATTGTACTTTACATTATAATCTGAAGAACTTATTTATAGGCATTTCCAACTTTCCTGTGGATTCAATATCTAGGACTCCATTAGAGCCCTTTATTACTTGAGTGATATATTACTTGAAGCGATACATGCACTCGCGTAGAAGTCCTAGTGTGTGAACTATTTTATATATTTTATGAACATTTTGATTTTACACATTAAATACTTAATATAAATTGGTTCAAGTTTTTTGGTATTATTTTTAAAGCTAAATTAATTTCGGGACGGGTCAAGTTTTTGGCACTGTACCAAGGATTTAAATTGACATAAAAACGCATAAAAACAACACACACTAGAGACACAACAGAATGCATCCCTGAAAACTTTAGGATTCAACAAGATTATTTCTAAAATAAATGTAACATAAATTTTGATTCATCTAACAATAAATTCAATAACATAATAATCTTTCTAATAAATATTAAATTAAAACATTCTAATGCAAAATTTTGAATTAAGAAAAAACTAATCAATCCAAGAAGCAAAAGATAATGATCTCCTCCTCCTCTCTACTGCTTATAACATCATACCATACTTTACATTGAAATTAGCTAAAACTGGAAAAAAAAAACATTTTTCTAACAAAAAAAAGATTTTTAATGAACCAGATCGATCACACAATCACATGGCTAGAAGGGATGATGAAGGAGTTTGTTCTCGACACTGGTGTTGATCTCGGTGTCCTGGGATGATAAATCCTCTGCCTGTTCCCATTCTCGTCATAAACAATAATTTCGTCATCTTCGCGCTCACCATTTTCAGGAACCTTGCATTTCCCTCCAAGAATAATGGCCTTCATCCACGTCGAATCTTCAGAATTTGTCTTCTCCTTCTCCTGAGCCTCTTTTCTCCCTGTCCGCACGCATGTCAACCTTTCAGGGAGTTTTAGGCTCAGGCTCATGGACAGCTTCCGCCGCGGTGTCATGTGCTTGGTAGGGGTGGGAGGGTCGGTCGGGCCGATTGGCCCGTGTGTTGCAGGAAAAACTGTTACCTTTGCGTCATGTTCTTCTGATGAAGATATCGATGTTGGTGGCGGTGAACGCGAGCGTGACTTGGGGTAATGGGAAGCACAAAGGGCAGAAATGAGGGAGAAGATGGCGAGAATAAAGAGTGCAGCGAGGAGGGTAAGGAGAAGGGGAAGGGGAAGAGGTGAGGGATCAAAGTCATTTAAAGGGACAAGTTGTAGCATTCTTGCCATGGTGAGGAAAGAGGATGGGAAGGTGTGGCTTATTTTCTCTGTTTTTGATGTCAGATAGGATGGAAAGAGGATTGTGGCTGTGGTTTTATTCCTTATTTGCTTTTTGGGTTTTTGGGTTGGTGAAGGCTTTTGCAAGCTTGGTGGAACCGGAGGGCTTTTTATAGTAATTTATTGTGTCTGCCGACCACTTCAATTAGATAAATATAGTAAGGGAAGCGGACACCGTTTCCCGGCGAATTTATGAAAGTGAGAAATGTTAATCGGATTAGGCAAAATTTATGTAACTGACTTCACCCTTACAGACCACGTGGCGGAAGTTGTAACATTTTTTAAAAATTCTAGCAGTTTTTTTTGCGGCAAATGTGGAATTAGTTCGAGCGAACATTTCAAATACTAACAAATAATTTCTTAAACAATAATTTTGATGGATATTGCCATGATATTAATACGGAAATATAGATATGATATAATTTGGATATGAGACACATCTATTCTATATAAAAAAAAAATTCGCACATCACATAATAAGAATAATATAAAAGTGAAAAAAAAAAAAATTAATAACTCTAATTTTTAAAAACTAGGAACTCTGGACATTCCTTTAATTTTCTCTTTTAGTTGATATAATTATGAACTAGTTGGCACACCCGCACAATCTAGGGCTCCTACAGCTCCCCCACACCGTAGAGAGGGGCGCCAGCATTTCCTAGGGTGTCAGAGGCTCACCCGCACCATAAGGTGCACCCATGACTCTTTAGGTAGTAGTAGTACCACCATATTGTCATAGCGTGCATCTGCATCTTGGTCCCTCTTAGCTCTCCTATGCCCATGTGGCGCCCCCACACCATAAAAACAACCAGCATTGGTGCATTTAGTTACTACTAGCAACTTCTCGCTAACCTGACGAAGCACCCACTCCGACGGTGATCTGGGGCCTTTACAGCTCAATTTCTGCCCAAATGACGTGTCTCTTTCGCTGTCTGTCACCCATCGGAGCTCTGCAGGAAATCCGAGGGATTTCCAACCCCTCGCCTACTTCATCCAGAAACGATCAGGAGGGATGATCAATGCTCCGATTGACAGTGACTGAGGTCGATTTGTGGGAGCACATGGTTCCATCTGATGACCCCGAGCTTCTCGACACTAATAAATACCTCCCCATCTCTATGTTTCAAAGCGCTCGCATTCCTCCTCCTCCGCCTCCTCCTCTTCAATGTGTTCCCTCTCCAACGTAGTGCTTCATTTCCCTCTATGTTTGGCTAACAGTAAAGATTTTATTTATCTAGTTTTATTTTATTTATTTTAGTTCTTTTCATATTTTTTTTGTAAAAATAATTAAAATGAATTAATTATGTTTAGTTTGGGTTCAAGTCAAATAAAGGTTAGCTGAAACCCAACTTCGCCCGAACCTAACCTAGCTTGAGCCTAACATAACCAATACCTAATATAGCTTGAACCCAAGCTAGCTCAACCTAGCCTGACCCTAGCCCAACCTAGCCAAAACTAGCCTAAATATAGCCCAACCTAGCCCAGCCTGACCCTAGCTTTACCATAGCCTAAGCTAGCCTCACCTTAGCCCAACCTAGCCTGACTATCCCATCTCCAGCCTGACTATCCCAACTCCAGCCTAACCCTAGCCTAACTCCAACTGAATTGGAGCCTAATCCTGACCTATGTTTCATTTGCAGTCTGTTTTATGCATGCCATGTTTCATTGAAATTGAGGTGTTGGAACCCGTTAAAACATAGTCCCACTATAGCAAGAGGTTTGAAGATTTTTGTCAACTAGCCCGGATCTTTTGCTTTTTTTACCCTGAGCAAAGGAATCTGTTGAAAGATCTTTTATTGAGTTATTGAATACCCTTCTTCATGATTGCCACCTGTAGGATGTAGGAGGGAAGAGCAGTAAGAATACTTTTTATCAAAGTTTTTTTTTTAAAGCAAAACAGGGTTATATTTTTTTATTACACAAGAAAAAATATACAAGCCCGGGAAAGAGGTCCCAACACACACACCCTACAAATACACAAAGAAAGTAAAAAGGAACTCTCTCCAAAAAAGAAAAATACAACTCACTCACCCCAAAACACAACAAAACTCAACACACAAAACACCAAACAATCAAAGCCACTAAAAATGAATCAAAGAAAAACAAAAACAGAAAACAACATAACTAAGAGCAACCAAATAGCCACCAAACTATTCAACATCCTTTAAGGCTAAAAGCATCAGATTATAAGGAATAATCTTTGAGACTGTAGCACCTTGCATCTTTAAATCCCATTTAGCCGCCCAGTGAGCAGCTTTATTGCCTTCTTGCTTGGTATAAGACCAAAGAATATTGATACTCCAATGATAATCTTGCTGCAATTGACAAAACTTCCAAAAAACAAAAGAATTAGTTTCCATAATAATAAATTTCCAATCATAATTGATAGCCATCTATAGACCATAGATAAAAGCATCAGCTTCAGCAGCCAAAGGGGAATTAGAAAACGTCCCTACTGAGAACCAATAAAGAACAGAACCTAAATGGTCTCGACAAACTCCTCCTACACTAGCAGATAAGGGATTCCAACAACCATCAACGTTAATGTTAATAAATGGCATCCACGATTTATGTCATTTAACATTATCTTTAAATTTAATATGCACATAAGTAGGAATATATAGAAGATGTCTCAAATGTTTCATATTTCCAGAAAGTATAGTGTTATTGAGCAAAAACTTTAATCCTTTATACAAATAATTCATACCAAACTAACAGTTCTATGCACCTTGGGAACAATATTTTTGAATTTACAATCATTTCTAGCAATCCATATAAACCAACTTATAACAGCAGCTATATCATTTAAAATACCTTTACCGAGCAGCTTCCAAGCATCGAAAATCTCAGAAATGCTATTGTACTGTATCAAATTTCTGTTAAATCTGTTTAACTGCAACTTATGTATAATATCATTACAAACATCAATATTAAAATGACATTTAAGAGTTCAATTGATTCCTCATTACCATTACACAAAACACAACAAGAAGGCAATCTTAAATGTTTCATCTTAAGACAATCATCACTAGGAATGATATTATTAAAAATTCTCCAAATAAAAAAGGAGATGGAAGGTTTAATCCAAATATTCCAATTCCATTTAAGATTTAAACCTTGCAAAAATTGAAAGGAGTTAGCAAAACATTTAGCATAAGAATCACCCAATTTGCCTTTAATTTTAGGCACATCAGGCTTCGTAAAATCAATATGAATAGTTGCAATAAAATTAGCATCATCTTAATTAACCTTTTGCCAAAGTTTTCTAAAACACCATTGATTTTCAAACCAAAGGTCATTAATCTTGATATTAATATTCTCAGGGCCACTGTAAAAGTCAGCAAGAGCACTTTTGCCTAACCAATCATCATACCAGAAAGAGCAATCACCTTTACCAATGTCCCAACAAATCATATCTTCAGTATTTCTAGCAACCTTGAGCATTTCACGCCAAATAAAAGAATCACTTTTGTTATAGGTAATAGTCATAGGATTCCTATTAAAGAAATACTTGACATGCATCAAAGAAGCCCAAATGGAATTATTCTGACGAAAGTGATACCATAATTTCATATAATTGATTTTAATAGAATCATTTAAGCTTCTAAAGCCAAGTCTTCCACTTTCTGTAGGTTTAAAAAGCTTACTCCAGCTTTTCCAGTGAAATCTGGAATGACCTTTACCTTCCCACATAAACTTATTAAAAAGAATTTCAATCCTCTTAATAACATTCAAAGGCATATTCATAACTTGAAGAGTATAAAGAGGTAGAGAAGTAAGAACACTTTTAAGAAGAGTCACCCTGCCACCAAAAGAAAGAAATTTTTTTTCCGAGGATAATATCTTATTTTTAATTTTGTCAAACAAGCTGAAAAATAAAGCACTCTTCTTTTATCCAAATGAAAACCTAGATAAGTTAAAGGTAAAGAAGCTTTATTACAAGCAGTAAAATCCATAATCCAATTCCTTTTAGGAATATTAATATTTTTTTGAATAGTAGAAAGCACATTTAGAAGTATTAAAGAATAAACTAGAGATAGTCTGGAAATTTAAAATCTCAGTCCAAAGCCTTTTAATGGAAGTTTTATTAGCATTTGTAAAGAGAATCAAGTTATCAACAAAACTCAAATGAGATATACTCAAATTGCCTTTATGCTTATAATTTAAACTAGGATAGGAAGTAAATAAATCATACAAGCAATGAGATAAATAATCAAATGCAATAATGAATAGATAAGGCAACAGAGGATCTCCCTGTTTGATACCGTTAGAAGCTTTGAAAAAGCTTTGATTGGTCTCATTAATAAGAAGAGAGTAGTAATTGTCATTGAGAATTCTATAAATAAGCTTGCAAAAAGCATTATTAAAACCAATAGCTTTAAGAAATAAATTCTCATCTAATAGTGTCAAAAGCTTTTTTAATGTCCATTTTGAAGATAACATTCCCACCTCTGCTTTTCTTATTAATATCCAAGAGAAGTTCTTAGACAATAAGAGCATTATTACAAATATTCCTACCTATAAAAGCAGATTGATTCATGCTAATAATATCATTAAGAATAGGTTGCAACCTTTTAACCACAATTTTATAAATAATTTTAGACATACTCGTGTTCAAACTAATAGGTCTAAAAGCTTCCCAATTATTTGCATCACGCACCTTAGGAATCATCACAATATTAGAGCTTTTAAAGTATTTTGGTAAATCTTTACCTCTAAAAAAGTCTTGAATAGCTTCAACAACATCAGTTTGAATGATGTCCCACCCATATTTATAGAACTCAGCAGTAAAACCATCCGGATCAATAGCTTTCCCTGTATCCATAAGATCAATAATATCTTTAATTTCTGCACTACTAGGTATACTAGTAAGCAAATCATTATTAATGTTAACATCTCTATTATAAAGAGTTATATTAATAGGGATTAAAGGACTGCCATCACTTTGAAAAGCATTAGAAAAGTAATGAACACCATTACTAGCAATATCAGTAAAATTATTGTAAACATTACCATCCATACCAACAATCCTTGTAATCAAATTAGCATTCTAACGATTCTTAATACAAGCATGAATGAAAGCAGTATTTCTGTCGCCATTTAGAAAGTTAGTCTTAGCAGTTTTTTTAGCATAAAAGTTTTCTTCCAGATTGATAGCTT